CCCCCCCGCATCACAAGAAACACATGTCATCTTTGTACCGTGCAGTGTCGACCCATCATTTGAGTCATGCTGGCATGAGTGGAATTTTTATGTCATGCCATGCTGGCCTATGGGCCTCAAAACGCCCAAGCTGACACAACCCAAGGGTTCAGACCACCCTTAGCACGGCTCTCTACAATAATCAAGCCATGCTGGCCTGCATGCAGTCCGGTCCACATTATAGCTCTAACTTCGACTCAAGTAAAGAGTTTTATCTAGATAGTTGTGACTTGCATTTGAGTACCATGGCTAGGCATAGGATGATAGGAGGACCGAAGTTTAGTAGATTTAAGAACAAGAATGGAGATTGGACTTAAATCCCCCAAGGAAGTGGCTCATGTTTTTATTAATTATTATCAAGGTTGTTCAGCACTTATGGTTGTCCCCATTTGAAATCTATTCAGGAATTACTTGATCCGGTAATCAATGAGAATGGCAAAAACTATTTGCAGCTACGCCAATAGTGGATGAAGTGAAAGAACTGCTTATTGCTTACTATTGGGTCTTAAAACACCTGGCTTGGTTATTTTTTACAAGTTTTGGGACCAAATGGACCTTAGTATTTTTAATTTTTTCAGTTGAGTTTTCCCCAATAAAAGGCTATTAAAGAGGTTGAATCATACTTTTATCACTTTAGTTTCCTAAGGGTCCAAATACTAATTTTGTTCAAGACTTTAGACCCATTAGTCTCTGAATGTTGTTTATAAAAGTATTACTGTTTTTTTTTTTTTTGTTTTTTGGCCAATATGCTTAGGAATGTTTTATATAAGTGCACTCCCGTATCAATCAACTTTTTTTAACTAAGAGATTTTTTTATGGATAATGTGATTCTTGCTCAAGAAATCTTTTGCAGCAATTAAACTTAATGTCTAAGGCTTATGATAGATTAAAGTGAATGGGAAAATAAGATTTACGTAACCGACCCTATATAATTGGGATAAGCCTTGGATGATGATCATGATGATTTATTGTCTTAAAATCTTTGCGCTTCTCAAAGGTTTGGTATTAAGTGATATTTAAATGTGCCAACTGCATCCTATTATATTCTTATTAATGGGTCCTCGAAGAGTTATATGTTTATCCTACTAGAAGCATTAGGCAAGATCATTTTTCTCCATACCATTTTATTATTGCTACTGCTATGGAGGATTTTATTAGTCTACTACAAAAAGCTGAGTTGAAGGATAAAATTGGCTGACTTATTGGATATTTTGGATTTATTTCAGGATTTGTCTAGCCAAACTGTCAAACTACTAAATTTAATAAATCTGGTTAGTTTTGTAGCAGAAGTGTTCCTCAAAAGTGTGTTAAACTTAAGAGAAAACAGCTTAAAATGGATAACATTGATTTGTCTCATTATCTTGGTATTCCTTTTTGTCTCCTAATAAAACTAATTGTTTAAATTTCATTATTGATAAGTTTAATCAGAGATCAAATAAATGTAAAGCTAGTCTACATCAAGTTGGAAAAGTTTTCTTATTAAGGCTCCATTTGGTTCGCAAGAATAGGAATCCGGAATCGGCCTATTTCAACTGTTTGGTTAGGTGGAATTAGAATCACATTCCCATTTCTGGTGGAATGGCATTCCCCCCATTCTCTTGGGAACGAAATATCATTCCTAGATTCCAATTTCCATTCTCATCCCTGTCTGAACAATATATATATATATATATGGCAATAGACCATTCCAATTCCGATTCCAAAGGATTTTGATTCCAATTCCAACTGAATATCAAATGGACCTAAGTTTATTCTGTAATCCATACCTAACCACCGTATGTCTAATGTGTAATTTCCTAACAAAATTCTTGATCAAATAAATAAAATTCTGATGAACTTTTGGTGAAAAAAGTTTCCTCGTCAAAATTGCTTGGAGATTTTTAAATTCTCAAATCCAGGTTAAAGTTTTGAGATCCAAGTATCTAGATAATAAACGTCTCCCCACAAAAGTTGCTGTCAGATTCTCATGCATGGAAGAATAGTTCATTCTCTTTTGGATTTGTATGAGAATACTCGTTGATTGCTATCTGTTAATTTTAATGCTAATCTATGGAATTTTAATAAATAATTAATTGGTTTCTCTTTTTGCCCCCCCCCTCCCCCACCCCTCCCAATAAAAGCCATCAAACTTTATGTTTTAAAGATTTAGTTATTGAAAATTCTAGGAGGTGGGATAGTGATAAAATTCGAAGTATTACCAGGATTGCATGGCTGATAATATTATGAGAACTCATTTGTTTAGGAATATTAACAAGGATAAATTTGTTTTGGATTTCTGGCAGAAATGGATCTTTCACTATTAAAGAGTACTATTATCTGAGGGGAAGTGTTAGGAGAGCTAGTCTTGATGGGAGTACCCTCTGATTAATTAAATACATCTGGTGTTTGAAAATTCCTCCTAGATATAAATTTTTTTATGTGGAGGGTTTGTAGGAGATTTGTAACCGTTAAAAGAGTTTTTAAATTTGTAAGAGTTTACATCTCGTGCTCAGAAAAAAAAAAAAAAAAAAAAAACTGTAATTAACAGTTTTTTAATTCATAGGGAATCAATATCATGAGCATTACAGTTTTTTTGTGGTCAAAAGGAAACAGTATCTCTTTTTTTGTTTTTTTGATAAATAAGTTCTCATTTATTTTTCTACTGTCCCTATGCTAAGACAATTCTTTTTTGTGTTACCTTGAGGAATTTGTGTTCAGCACTAGGGTCATGAAGAAGTTTATGCCGTTAAGGATTTGATAGGTGGTTTTCCCCATGCTCATAAACAACTTGAATTCTTGGTTGGTTAGTAGTTGCCTCTCATTATGTTTGATTGCCCATGATGAATATATAATGGTAGATTTAAACCTGTTGAGTGGGTTCTTCACAAGGTATTTAGTGTCTTCAATTCTTTTGTAGATGATCCGTTTACTCATGCTTAACCTGAATCTGTGAGATAGAGTGACATATTTCATTGATAGGAGTAGGAACGTCCTCCAGAAGGAATGCTTAAGATAGTTGCAATGATAACATAACAGATGATAAATTTGGGTCTTGTGGATTTGTTATTAGAACTGAGCAAAAGTGTTTTATGTGCTGCAGGTGCTAGTTATTGCAGAATATCTCAAGGTGCTACTGAAGCAGAGCTGAAGGCGATATGGGCTTGTCTTCTTTTTGTGAAAGAAGAGAGATGCTTTTATTTATTTTTTATTTTTGGTACTTGAAAGAAAAGGGATGCTTAAGATCAATTTGATGGAAACATATAAATGATAAACTTGGGTCTTACGGATTTGCTATTAGAACTGAGCAAAGCTTTTTTATTTATTATTATTTTTTTTTTTTTGTGCTGCAGATTCTGGTTATTGCAGAATATCTCAAGGTATTATGGAAGTGGAGATCTAGGCAAATACTGGTCTTCTTTTTCTGAAAGAAATGGGATTGTATTTCATTGATAATGGAATCAAATTCTCTTCTTTCTATTAATATTTTGGGAGGTGAAAGGAAGGATGTTCCTTGGGCCTGTCTTGCTCTGGTTGATGATATTTTGTCCATAGTATCTGCCTTGAACCATATTTCTTTCTTGTTTGTTAATAAATCTGGCAATCAGGCTGCCCATTGTATTGCTCAATTCTGAGGTTGTGGGCCAATTCCTCAAGGTGGCTGATGTTCTTTTGGATTGTATAAAACCCTGGATTTTAATGTTAAACTTTGTTTACCTTCAAATACTAAGAACAAATAAAAAATATAAGAAAACATATATACTATATGTTCATTTATTACAGTGTTCCTTTTGTTTTACTATTTTAATGGTAGGTCTGCTATGACAAGGGTGATTTATGCACAACTGGTAACCAAGATCAGAAGCATTAGAACCATGTTAAGAGTATCTCAAACCTGGAATGCGTATCTTGATTGCATTGAGAAACTGTCCTTTAGGTCCAACATGGAGGTGCCACATTTCTTCAAAGAGTAGTTTCAAGTCTCATTTTCTATCCAATAATTATAGAAAAACACTCCCAGAGTCCGAAGACATGGTGTAAACTGATTCACATTTCTTTAAAAAAATACAATAATGCACAATGCATATCTGATATAAAAATCTATCCTTTGGATAGAAAGCAAGTGAGTAATTGGTGAATGCAGAACTCACCCATGCAGCCCAAAGAATATGAAACTATACACACAAATAATAATAAAAAAAAGAAAAAAAATGAACAATAAAGAAGATGAAAAGGAACAAAATCACCTTGTCATCTCTCGTGGATGATCTAAAATAGGATTCATTTCTACCTCTGTTCTTTCAAATTCCTGGGGAATCCCAAACTTCTCAGCTTCTCTAGCAATCTGAACATCAGAAGGACTAAAGTATTGACTAGAAACTTTTACAACAAAACGAGGAACAACTGCTGCCACTAGGATGGCAAGTAAGCACAACCAAAATAGTCCAGTCTTAGCAATATCGAAGATGGCCCTGAGAAAGGACAAAGCAAATGTAAGCATCTTGTTAAGTTCTATATAAAACACACACAGGTATTATTATAATGTTGTAGATCCCAACTTTTGAACATGTTTCATTGCATTTTAGAACCTTGAACACTTGTGAGTTTTGCAATATGCAGCCTGTTGAATGAATGGTTCAGTCAACCAATTTCTGCTGCTTGACACAGCAAATGGAATAGCTGGTCTTTTGATTGGATGAGCTCTAACCGCACATCCCCAAACTGGACTAAAGATGGTATCATGAATGGAAAACGTACATCTACAATGATGACCAGTGTTTTAAAACCCAACCTGGAGGTTACATGGGTCAGTGGTTTAACTATCTGAGTCAACAGGTCAAACCATCATATCATCATTACAGAAAAATTAAAATAATATGAAAAATTGGTAACCTGTTGAACAGATCAGATGGATCAACAGTTCCAACAATCTGGATCGATAGGCCATTGACCAAACCAGCGGCTTTTTGTAATAGAGCCAGTGTTTTAAAAGTGCAAAGGGCATTTTGTGCCCAAGGCGCAAGGCAAGGTGTGCACCTTTTCAAGCAAGGAAAAAATTTTAAAAGTTCAATAAAAGCAAAAAGAAAATAAAAAAATGTAAATAAATCAAAATAAATGAAGAAAATATTAAAAATAATATTAATAAAAAATACAAACTTTAATTTTGAACTAAATATTTCGAAAATAGCTCAAATTAAAATACATAACCATAACATATAAAACATATTCTAAGTAAAAATGCAATCAATAAAATCATAGTAATAAACAAATTCAAGTATGTCAAACTTTTAATTTCTTTATTTCTTTCCTAATTGCATTATTTGAAATAGATAATATGATGTCAAGCATTTAACAAGCCACTTTTGTACCAAGCCCCTTGAGGCAAGACCCCAACAAATACATGTTAGGGTCTTAATCCCTACAAAGAAATGGTTTTATAATTTTAATTATCTCTTAGAAAATATATTTATTAGGAAGAATGAAATGAACAACATTAGCAAGGGGGTCCTTGGAGTGAGCAAGCTGATGCAGAAATGAAACCCCCTATTTGCAAATGTTGTTCATTTTTTGTAAGGGTTAAGAATTCAAGGGACTTAGTTGGGGTTCTGGGGACAGAGACCCCAGCCCAACCACCATGTTTCAAAACACACAAAAAAAAAGTGCACTAGGCACACTAGGCACGTGCCTTTTCAAGGGGTGTGCCTGGGCGTAGGCAAAGCACAGGCCCTAAAATGTGCCTCACTTGTGTGCCTAGGCACACCTTTTAAATCACTGAATATAGAAAATTAGAGGTTGACCAGAACTGTAATAATCACTGGGTCACCAATTAGATGTATGAAATACCTCATAATGGATTAAAATCAATTAATGGGTAAATAGGCATCAATACACAAAATTTAATTGGCTTTTTATGTATGTACTGAAGTGCGTGAATATATAGCAGGCATAAATATTTCCCCAGATGTGAAGAGTTATTAGAGCAACTAGACCAACCAAAATGCTAAAACCATCAGTGACCTAAGCAAATGCACAGAAGTCAAGCAACTGAACTTTTGACTAAATGGCTTTATTATTACAGGAATTCTTAATCCAATCTTCAAAGCAAGCAACCTCATCTATTACAGATAAACTACATTCCGGTAATTCTGCATAAAATTTACAGAGGTCCTAAATCTTGCTAATCATTGTGAAATAGTATTTTGAGATCCAGACATCGAAAGACATGTAAAACAAGGCCAGATCTATAATATATATGTATATGTACACACAGGCACACAGAGAGCATGTGCATGCATGCATGAGAGAGAGAGAGAGAGAGATTACCAATAGCCCGGTAGCGTAGGGATAACATCAATGATAATGACACAGATGAATGTTGCAAGAATAGAACCCCATATCACTACGTGGGTAACCCATGTCCAATGTATTACGTCCATAGCTAGATGAATATTAACTAGAATCACCACTGCAAGGGTCCACAGATCTCCTATGCTGGACCCATCCACAGTGCTCTGCCTATAAGCAAGGAAAGGAACAAAGAATACAACAACACTTTGAAACACAGTATCCGTCATTGTCAGCCAGAACAATTTAAGATTGTAGCACTCTCGTCTCTGCCCTGCTGCATATAGTTGAGGATACTTCAACAGAGTCCTTCGACTCAAGTCTTTGTCAAGAATCCCAACAATTATTGTAGGCAAGGATGTATAGATAATTGAATACAGCACACTACTCCATTCAGTGATTGCAGTAGTCAGAGAAAATGCAGTATAAAGAACATACCTATACAGAAACAATTAAAAATCAGCCACCATCAAAATTTATATGATATGAAAAGAAAACATAGTTGTAAAATATAATTTTAGTTGTATCAATTCAGAAAAAAAATTGACAAGAAATAAAGCACAAACTATGTAACTCATAAGTCTCTACACATTATATTTGGTAATTAGAAAGAAAAAATAAATCTTGTTGTGTGCCTGGATTTTAGGTAACAAATCAAATCCCGTTTTAGTTAAATTATTATATATAAATCAAACCCTAATTCAATTAATAATCCTATTGCAGTTCCCATGTATAATGAAAGAGAACTTTCTAGCATGTAAAGAAGTAACACCACAGCCTTTATACCTTCAGGTTATATAATATTCTGTATAATATCTAAATTATACATTAGCATACTTGCAATACAAAAAAAAAAAAAAAAAAAATTAAAAGAACTAGAATTGGAAAGCAAAGATTCTGTAAAAGAAGCCTACCCCCAACCAAATCAGTTTCATTTGAATGTTATGAATTATAAAGTGATAACCAGAACCCAAACCAAGCAATCCACCAAATTCAATAATGCATTACAGGGTTCCATCATTACTTTTCCCCATAAATACATCTTTCATTGTTTTAATAGACAAACAACTCCAATGACCAGATAATTCTTATAATGAAACTTAATCAGTTCTCAAAAGGCTTATACCATGAAAAATTTGTCATGCATTTATGTAATTTAACCAACGAATAGAACAGTCTAAATACCCAAATATATGATTGATGTAAAAGTTAAACCATCATGAGCCTAGTCATTGGATGGAAGATTGTAAAAGTATGGAGTTTTTAAACTAAGGAGTAATAATATGCCACTTGGTAATTGTACAATTCACTATGTTAAAAAATAAAATATCCAAAGATTCATCTCACATAAAGTACTCACCAAAACAAGATGAGAACAAACACAGCATTCCTATAGAAGTTGTACAATATCATGTAGCCCATTCGTTGATAATTCCAATGTCCATGGACCAATAAAAGAGGAACCAAGAATCTGAACTGCCCCATTGCAAAATCTGATGCCATGACTGCTTGACGTCCCTCTTGGCCACTTATGCCAATTCCCACATCAGCCATTTGGATCATTGAAACATCATTGGCACCTGGATAAAACATAGGAAACAGAGATCTTCAAAAGCAGTTCCATAAATGCATTACGTTTGAATGTATGCATGTATTATGCATGTAAATAAAATGGTATTTACCATCGCCAATTGCAAGGGTCATGTCATCTGTCCTATTCTTTATGAGGGCAACAATTCCAGCTTTTTGTAATGGAGCTACTCGGCAACATAGAACAACACTGCATTTGGTTGCTAATTGGAAAAGCTGCAGCATCAACACAGAAAAAATATATACCAGATCACCACAAATGCAATTAAAGGAAGAGTAGAGAACTGGTTTCTAGAAAAATTTACCTCATCTTCTAGTTCACTGTCAAGAACATAGACAAGGCTGGTACCATCAATGATTAAAGCAAGTGGAACTTTGGTAGGTAAAACACCTGATCCACCATTCTGTGTGGATATTCCCAGGAGATGCTTAGACATGGCCTTTGCATCTTCAAGACTCTTCCTACAGGATTCCTTTGAAGTGCTATTTATTATGATCTGGGTCATCCTACTGGTTAGGAGCTTACAGGAGTAGCCAATTGATATGGCAGTTTCTTGCTTGTCCCCTGTCAAGACCCACACTTTAATCCCTGCTTGCTTCAGAGATTCTATAGCTTCAGGCACACCCTGTTGCAGCTTATCCTCAATGCCCGATGCTCCCAATATGCACAGATTATTTTCTACTTTACCAGCAACAGCACGAAGTAAGCTTGCTCTTCCCATCAATGAAGTACTTGCTTTCTCATAGGCAGACTGCCATTGCTCAAATTCCGAGACATTCAATTCTCGCATCCCAACAACTAGTGTTCTCAGACCTAATGAGGAGTAGGCATGCAGATGGCTCTCGGTAGAACGAATTACCTCCAAACCTAGAGATCTATCAATTACACCAAACATGGAGGTGTCTGCACCCTTCACAAAGACTTTCACCATATTGTCTGGGCAACCAACAATAACTGACATTCTCTTACGGTCACTGTCAAATTCATGTAGACCCAAGACATTGAACCTGCATTTTAACAAGAAAACAACAGTTAAAAATAAAGAAAATGTAAACAGTTTCCCAAGTTCTAGATTATATATGTAGCAAAGACATTTGTATTCTTAAAGCTACTACTCCTGTCAAAACCACCAACACATAGATGTCAAGGAAAAATGGCATTTTCATATTTTCTCTTCTTGTTGTCAAGGAAAAATAACATGTTAATATTCTCTCCTCTCTATCATTGTTGCATTCAAAATAACAAGGGCTCCATAGAAGAGCAGTAGAAACACGAGAGAGAAAGGAATGAGAAAAGAAAGCCGATCGTAGGGGATTAAGAGGTCCCCTTATTGTTATTTATATTAATCTCTACTAGTAAGTAGTAAATAAGTTATATAAACACCCTTCATAAGGTGGCAGCATTAAGAAACATAACATGCTTGGCCCATAGGCCCAATATGACAAAGAATAAAAGACAAATAAAATAGGCTAACAAATAAATAGAATAAACATAAAGCTACCTCTCGACACTCGACCTCAACTTGGGAGTAAATGTCCATCATTAGCAACTTGCCAAAAACAGCTAGTAGCTTCAACCAAGGTACCTCCTTAGTAAAAATGTCTGCTAACTGCTAGTCACTCTTCAAATAAGGAAGACAAATCTCTCCAGACATCACTCTCTCCCTAATTAAATGACAATCTATCTCAATATGTTTAGTACGATCCTGCTGAACTGGGTTGTATACTATATTAGTAACTGCCTTGTCACAGTGAAGCACCAAAGACATCTCCAAACTAATCTCCAACTCACCAAGTAGAGACCACAGCCAAAGAGCCTCAAATAATCCTTATGCTATAGATCTATGCTTAGCCTCTAAACTGGAATGAACAACTAGTTGCTTCTTGTTCTTCCAAGAAACAAGATTAACACCCACAAGAGCACAGAAACCAAATGTTGACCTCCTAACATCAAGAGAATCAACCCAGTCTGCATCAGCAACATCTCTCTAGTCTATCCTCATATGATCATACTTAGAATATAAAATGCCTTTTACCTGGACAACCCTTCAAGGATGCCAAAATGCTATATTCTACTGCAAGATGTGTGGTACAAGGTGCATGCATTTACTAACTCATAAAACTGGCTGAGTAGGCTGTCTGGCAAAGTTATACATTAAGCATAAAATCCCCCCAGTTAGCGTCTGATACATGCTTTGATCAGTGAGAAGCTCCTGCTCATTGGCCTTGTCTTATGATTAGGATCAATATGAGTATCTATAGGTTTCACTCCTAATTTCCTTGCATCTCTAATAATACCCAACACATACTTTTGCTAAGAAATGTAAATACCATGCCTGGATTGAGCTACTTCAATCCCTAGGGAAGTACCTCAGCTCTCCTAAGCCCTTGATCTCAAACTTGGTACTTAGAAACTTGAGATGAACAATGTCCTCTATATCAATCCCTAGTCACGACAATGTCATCGACATAAACAAACAAGTGAGCTGCCCTTTCCTCTTAACAAACAAAGTGTTATCACATTAAAGTTGAGTATATCAAACATTCAACAACACACCTTGAAATATACCAAACCATGCATAAGGACATTGTTTAAGCCCACACAAATCATTCTTAAGCTTACACACACTACCCCTAAACAAGTGGCTATAAAAGCTACATGAAATGCCCATCTAATAAGAAATGCATTTCTGACATCCATCTAATAAAGAGGCCAATAATGAAGAGTAGCAAGACAAGAGTACCTTCGTAGAAGTCATCTTAACAACATGTGAGAAAGTCTCATCATTGTCAACCCCATATGTTTGAGTATAGCCCTTAGCCATAATCCTTGCCTTATATATTTTTGTAAAGTCATCGCCCTTGTTTTTCACTGCGAACATCAATTTACATCTAACAAATGTTTTCCTTAAAAAAGGAGAGAGTGGACTGCCAAAAGATAGTGAGGATTATTTAAAATTGGAAGTTCCAGTTGCAAGGCTTGGAGTTGAGTTAGGTCGAAGAAGGAAATTAGTGAGCAAAGAAAAGTGGATTAGTGGCTGATATTCTGATAAGAGTCTAAATGAGGCTCAGTCAGTCAATTGGAGGAAAAGGGAGAAAAAGTGGATTAGAGGTCGATATTTTGACAATAGTCTAAATGAGTCTCAGTCAGTCAATTGGAGAAAAAGGGAGGAAAAGTGGAGATTGAGTGTTTGACTGACTGACAATGATGTTAGGGTTGGCAAGAGCTTAGGTCTTTTTTTTTTTGGGTGAGGGGGTAGGGGAAGGTGGAGAGGAGTGAGATGAGGAAGGAGACGAGCAAGATGAAGTGTTTGAAGGAGATGACTAAGTTGCTCTTGGCTGGGGAGGTTTCTCTTGTACTTTTTGTGTTTAGTATAGATGAAGTTCTATTGTTTTGATGTTGTTGGCGTGAGTGTTATCTTACCAAAGCCTATTGGTAATAAGGAGAGAGGGAAAAAAACTAATGAACTAACTGAGAGAGGCTAAGGGTGAAAAGGCAATGAACTTGGAGGACTCAATGGCAGAATTTCTAGGAAAGCTTGGGTGTAAACTAAAGGATACAAATGATCTTAAAGTGTTTTTACAGGAGCAGAAGGAGGAAGTTAAAATGAGGAAGCAGAAATTAAGCAAAGTGGAGAGATTAAAGAGAGACATGTAGGAGGATAAAACTTTTGGAGGGAGAGGGGAAAGAAGAAAGGGGTATCTTGACAGTGTAGCCGGCCAGAGATAGGAGGAAGAGAAGAGAAGAGGAAAGAAGAGAAGAGAAGAAGAAGAGAAGAGAAGAGAGGAGAGAAGAGAGAAGGTTTGCAATGTAACAGTATTGGCGGCGCCAGTGTTTATTTTACTATATATAGGGCAACAGAAATAACAAGGGAAAAGACCCTTGTGCCCCTGAGTACAATAACTGAC